GGTGTTCTTTAGCCAGGTGTTTCATGCTCAGTTGTTTTTACAGCCAGGTGTTTTTACAGCCAGGTGTTCAACAAACAGGTGTTCTACCGCCAGATGTTTCATGCTCAGATGTTCAACAGTCAGATGTGTTACCAGGTGTTTTTACAGTCAGGTGTTCTTTAGCCAGGTGTTTCATGTTCAGGTGTTTTTACAGCCAGATGTTTCACATCCAGGTGTTCAACTACCAAATGTTTTGGCCAGGTGTTCTTTGGCTAGGTGTTTCATGCTCAGTGTTCTGCGACCAGGTGTTCTACCGCCAGGTGTTAGAACACCTGGCTGTTTTTACCAGCAGGTGTTTTTACAGCCAGGTGTGTTTAACAGTTTTGTTAATCAATATTTACCCAATTGTAGCTTTTTTTAACAAGTTCTAGCATTACTGTTGTAGAAATTTTAACTTTTAGTCTTTATCGGACTTATTTTAACTTTTAGCATCATTTTACGTTTTAGCTTTTGTTTTGCTAACTTCACCATCAGAGTTTTACTTCTGAGCTACGATTTAGTTTTTAGTTTTTTACTGTGGTTTTTAATTTTTAGATTTAGTTTTGTTACTTTTAAGCTTAACTAAACTTTTGTTATAAAACTTAACTTTTAGTATTGTACAAATTGTAGCTACTGTTACATTAAGTTTAGCTGCAAATCTGCTCATTTCAGGTTTTAGCCAAGAACTGTTAGTTATATTTTAACTGTTCCGTTTTTTGATTTTAGCTTTTGAAAATTGTAGATTTTAGTTATTTTAAGTTGTACTAATCTAAGCTTCTTTTTTTGGCTTGTAACGACGGCTAAGTTTAGCTACGTAACAACTAATTTAAGCTTTTAGCTTTGAACTATTAGTTTTTGCTGTACTTATTTATTAATTTTAGTTTTAAAAAATCAAGTTTAGAGGCAGAACAGACAGGAAGTCTGGAAATAAATTGTGAAAACGTAACCGTCCATCATGTTGGGTTTGAATCCAGAAGCTGTTTCCTTTGGGGCTCATTCAGATTCATTTTTTTAAAGTTTTTTTTGTATTAAAGTGAATACAAGGAGAATACTGGAGACTTTAAAGACTTGCAGTCACACAAAAGAAGAAACGTCTCTTTCATCATCAAACCTCAAATAAAAGTTTGAATTAAGCCGTTTTTCTCCAGCTGGAGCTGAACTGTCGCAGCTGTTGTTTCCATGAAGAAGRAGCTCTTCACTCATCCTGACTTCAGTAAACAGATCTGCTCTCCAGGCTCGTGTTGCTGCTGGAACGGCTCGAAAAACATCAAAAACTAAAAAAATATAATTCTGCAGCTCTTTGAGGCAACAAAACGGAAACATTCTGTGGAGATTCACACAGAACGGACAGACGCTCGAGTGTCAGCTTCTGCCCACACACAACTAACACACACACATAACACACAAACCGCCCACACAGCCCTCTGTGAGGACAGCAGTGTGTAGTATTTGTGTGTATTACTCACACTACTGAAATTGCTACACAGTAAAATATAAAGACTTAGATGTTTCAGCTGATAAGATTTTTTGTTGTCAGTGTTTTTGTCTCAGAGTGACTCAAACATCTTCAGAGCCTCCATTTTCCTCGTTTTCACTCCTGAAAACAAAAAGATGTTGAAAGCGATGAGTCAGCCATGTTGGGAGTAAAGTGCAGCTCAGAACAGATGAAAACACRCAGCTCCTGTAAAATTTTAGAGTTGATGGAAAACTGCTTCGGCTTCTTGTTTTGATGCTTTTCACGAAGCGGAGCGTGTTGAAGCATAATAATATTATTAAGAGTAGGGGTGTAAGAAAATATCGATACACTGAAATATCGCGATATTTCATTTCCCGATACTGTATCGATATTCTAAAGCCCTGTATCGATTT